GATCAGTGCTTCAGAGCAAAACAAAATCCTGCTTGATGAACTCTAATGCCAGCAGAAGATTTTAATTAGATTCTCTGCCCTCTCTCTTGACTCATCTGTCCACTCACTTTAAAAACAGGCTGAGAAAGTGGGTTTTCAAGTTTTCAAGCTGATGATTCCTTCTTTCAGGAGTGTGTCATCCTGATGTATCAGTCATGGAAGATTGTGGTGGTGTTTTTCCATGTGGGCCCAAAAAGGCAGACATGGCTGATGGGTTTGGGTTTGTTTGGGGTTTTTTTAAATGACTTAATGCTGAAGTCTTCATCCTAGGTCTTCTAGTTTTAGACATGAGCACACATGCTCCCAGGAAAGAGCAATATCCCAAATGGTTGAGAAAACTGGCATTCACCTTGGCTGTCTCCTCCCCATATTCCTATGGACCTTTTTGGACAATACCTGCCCTTTTGGCTTTCTTTTTAAGTCTTTAGAATTGTTATTGCATCCAGCACAATTTTCTTGTTTGCCTTTATGAATAGTTCTAAATTTTTCAGACAAAATCCCAAACTAGTTCTGTAATATAAAAGAGATTGAGGTGACTTTCTGATGCATGATGCTTAAAAAAAAAATGTGTTCTTTCTTGATTTGTCATGGGCAGCTACCCGTTGTGTCACCTAGGATTGTCCCTGGGCCTGGGCAAAGTAGGCAGTTGCTTAGGACAGCAGCATGCCAGTGGTAATGAAGCAGCCCCCAGCCAGTTCTGATGTGAAAGCCCTCAAAAGCCGTACTGAGGGCCAAATATCTGGGCTGCATGCTTGAAACCCATCCTTGATCAGCAGCTCTTCCCCTTCTCTCCTGGTGGCAGCAGGAGTTGTAAGGTCAAGTCTCCACCTTAGTCTGGGCCCTTTCCATGGAAAGGAAAAATTCAGCTTTGCTGCTATGGCCAGGGAACTTGTAGCCTGCTCTCCCATTACTTCTTACCTCAGCTTTTTGCACTCACCCCTCTCTCTGCTCGTCCGGGTTGTGATCAGATCCTCTCATGTACAGAAAGTGCCAGGAGTACCTGGTGCCCAGAACTGTTCAAGGTGCTGTTCAAACCTCATGGCTTTTCTGCACTTTGGAGACAGCTTTCAACCCCAGGGGATTCTGGCCAGGTAAACAGTGACACCCTCATACTCTCTGATTTTAAAATCTCCTTTTGCCTCTTCAGTTACCTTGTAGGAGAAGAGCTCTGGGTGGTCATGGAGTACTTGGCAGGAGGCTCCCTGACAGATGTGGTGACAGAGACCTGCATGGATGAAGGACAGATTGCAGCTGTGTGCCGAGAGGTAAGGTGGCACTGGTGGTTGCCAGGAGCTGTGGCTGGGAAGGGGACATGAGCTTTCCATGACCTGTCACTGGCTCCACAGGAATAGCTGCTTCCAGCTTCTATAGAAGCTGACACAACAGTCATTCTTTCAGAGGATGGGTTTCATCCAGGAGGTTGCACAGCACACAATCCTAACGCAAGCCTAATATATCTCGCCCGAGAGGAAGGATTGGAGTACAAACTGGGGTTGGAATCTCCTTGGGTATGCCTATTCTCCAGGGCTTTTGGGACTAAATTGCCCTCCTAGGACCTGCTGATCCCAGTGGGGTATCTCTCTTTAGCCCTGCACATGCTGAATATATGAAAGACTCTAACCCCTTTCTTCTCAAAATGTATGTTGTTAGAGTCCATTAGGTAGCTAATTGTGGCTGGTGAATAATTTCATGCTCAGTAAGAATATCTCAATTATTTTGATTTTTTTTTTTTTCCAGTGTCTCCAAGCTCTAGAATTCCTCCATTCAAACCAAGTTATTCACAGAGACATCAAGAGTGACAACATCCTGCTGGGAATGGATGGCTCTGTCAAACTAAGTATGCAGGGGATGTTGCTGGTGATGACTTGAGTTATCCACCCAGGCCTGTTAGGGGAATGGGTGTTTCAGGTGGTGGATCATAGATTTGTTTTGGCTGGGAGAGAGCTTGAAGATCATAGAGTCCAATTGCTCACCCAGCACTGCCAGGTCTCTGCTAAACCATGTCCCTCAGCACCACATCTATGTGTCTTTTAATACCTCCAAGGATGGTGACTCCACCGCTTCCCTGGACAGCCTGTTCCAGGGCTTGACAACCCTCTCAGGGAAGAAATTTTTCATAATATCCAACCTAAGGTCCTGACTTATCTTCAGCCCATTTCCTCTTGTCCTATTGCTGGTTCCTTGGAAGAAGAGACCAACCCCCCAACTCACTCCAACATTCTGGAAGCTGTAGAGTGCAATAAGGTCTCTCCCCAGCCTCCTCTTCTCCATACTAAACAACCCCAGGTCCTTCAGCTGCTCCTTGGAAGACTTGGGCTCTAGACCTTTCCCCAACAACATTGTTGCCCTTCTCTGGCCACTTTCCAGCACCTCAAGGTCCTTCTTGGAGTGAGTGGCCGAAAACTGAACCCAGGAATTGAGGGGTGGCCTCCATAGTGTTGAGTCAAGGGGGACAATCCCTGCCTTAGTTCTGCTGGCCACACTAGTGCTGATCCAAGCCAGAATGCCTGTGGTCTTCTTGGCCACCTTGGCACACGCTGGCTCATTTTCAGCTGGCTGTCAACCAACACCCCCAGGTCCTTTTCCACTGGGCAACTTTCCAGTCCCTCTTTCC